TTGTATATAATTGAAGATAAAATGCTTCATAAAGTATATTCAGACATTGCATTCTTATCCCATTATTCCCGTATCTGCTTATTTATTTATCCCATGGGATTAAAAATACCCAGTATTATGTACTTTGCAGGATTTTTAATCCTAAGAAGGGCAAATATGGGATTTTTAATCCTATGTCGCCTATTATGGGAGAAAAAATCCCATGGGAGAAAAAATCCCTCAAAGATTTTTTTCTCCCATGGGATTTTGGTGGGATTTTTGGTGGGATGAAAAATCCCACCATTCTCCCATGGGATTTTAGGTTTTGACAGAGGTTTATGAGAAAACTACTACAATGTGGAAGTTGAGATTGACATGATGAGGTAAGAATAAAAAATCCCACCAAAATAAAGAAAAAAATCTAATGTAGGTCTTTTCGAAAGGGTACCTAAAAGTCCGGACTTTGTCGTGTCCGGACTTAAATGTCGCAGTGTTATATATTACATAATTATGATGACCAAGACCGTCTCTTCCAAAATTGTGTTTTTCATGGCTCTATATTAGGGGGCACTGGTATAAGGCTTAACTTTATTGATTAAAAGTGCCCCAAAAGTATTAATTCTTTGAAATTTTCCCTCTGCTCCTTGTTATTAAACAAACGATCTACATAAATAATGCAGATAAATTAGAGTACCTCTTTTAAAACTGCACATTTCGTGGCCTCAGGTTCGAGAGTTCTTGTGTACGGATGGGGCTCTTTTGCTTCTACATGTATAGTGATCGTACATTATTATTATTTTTTTTTTTAGAATTATTCCCCTCTATTCCTGGGTATTTAAAAAAAAACTATAACTACATACACATTGATGCTTAGACTACCTCTTCTAGATTGTGTGTTTCATGGTCCAAGGCCAGAATGAGGTTTTCCGTTGTAAGGGTTAGGTTCTATTGATTATATCGCTAATATGCATTCATTCTTTGGAAACTATGCGTTAGGGCTTTGCTCTATTGATTTTGCAGTTAAAATGCATTTTTCTTTGGAAATCTGATGTTAGGGCTTGGCTCTATTGATTATATAATTAAGATGCATTCATTTTCTCTAAAAAAATTCTCTGTTTATTGGTATTGAATAGTCTAACTACACACATAAATAGCTAAGGCATATGGTGCCTCCAAAATTACGGATTCCATGACCCAAGGATCAGAGGTTTGGGTGTTAGGTAGGGACAGTATTGATCATGAAGAAAAAAATCTTGGAAAAACTTCTCAACTTCTGGATATTTAACAAACTAATTACATCAGTAGTTATGATTAGCAAGGATGCTCTTACCAACTGAATTTCATGGCCCAAGGTTCAAAGATTGAGCTTTATCTATTATGTAATGAAGATACATAAATTCTTTGAAAGTCTTCCTCTGTGCCCCTCTGCATTAGACAGATGAATTACCTTCATGGTCCTTCCTCTAGGATTTTGAATATAAAGGTACCGGGGTTTGCGTTACCAAATAGAAGGGCGTCTCATAAGGTTACTTAAAAAGAATGAATTAATCTTTTTGAATGAATCCTACGTTAATAATAAAGAAGTCGCTTTTTCACTACATTGTGAAATATGTGACCGCAGGGTCAAGGGGTTTCTTTAGGGCCGTGAAACAAATGATAACTGCTGAATATTACAGTGACTGTGCAATGATTTGTTGTGATACATTTTTGTTTCCCTTGTTTGCATATTGGGATTAACAAACTAAATTAAGAATGGTAAATGCATAAAAATGATGAGCAAAGGTGCCTCTATCAAAACTGTGAATGCCTTGACTCTGGTTTTAAACAGGAAACAAAATCAACTGTTGGAGGGTTATCACATGATTATGAGGTGACCTATAATGCACATAGGCCTCCTGTTAACTAACAATGAGATTTTCCGTCCATCTTATAAATAGGTTGTGCTTACAGACATTGTGCTTAGTAAACAGGGGATCTTTTAGTCGTTAAGGCACTTGACCAAACCTTTGGAAATTATGTGAATGTCTGTTTAATGTCTTGTTCACAAATCTGCATCGATTGTACAATCGTCATGTAGTATTGATTTATATTGAACACTTTTATTTAAATGTACTTTTATTATTACTTTTTTTTTCAAATAATTGGTCTTGCAAGATAAATTATTATCCTCTCCAAAGATTTCTGATCAAAGTTTTGTTTGAGTTGCAGGATCGTAATGGCGTGTTCTAAATACATATCAACAAAGGAAACAACGCATGCTGCCCGTGTTTCCCGGTTATTAGTGGATCCCTGTACTGACCTATTCAGGGACATTCTGAGGAATCATGTTACAGAAATACAGTTCCCAGCTATCATTCTTCAGGAAAGAAACAATTTAAATCCGATCTTAAATAAAGTCCAAAGGGAAACGCTTTATCCAAAATCGGGAACTTTCAATGGAACGTATGCGGATTTTGATTTGTCATTATTATACATATTACTGAGAAATATATCAGGAATTCCGCCTCATCAAAAGGGATGGGCCAAAACACCAGATCCCTTAGATCGTTCCCTCTCTGCAAACATCGATCGAATCAGAGAAATCAGAAATACGTATTGCGGGCATGCAGCCAGGGTTTCTTTAACAGATGTAGAATTTAATAAACTTTGGCAAGACCTAACAATAATTATAAGTGAACTTGAGAGCAGTCTTCCCGGAGGATGTACAACATACACAGATGCTGCAAAAGTCATTAAAATTGTAACTATGGACCCGGAGCAGGAGAAAAAGTTTTTAGACGAGATCGATAAACACCACCAGACAACAGATGACTTAAAAGGTATCATGTAAACCTTTGTATATAGGAATGTGCATTAAGGTGCGGTCACACGATGCGGTTTTTCATTCTTTTTTTTACCAATCGATTTGCTTTTGACTAAAATTGTACCGTGTTATCACAAATATTGAAAAACGAAAGCAAAATTTGAAAGTCATTTGCACGTCAAATTTCAATCGATATTCCTATGAGAACCCAAACGTCGCAATGAATTTTCCCGCAACACGAGATACATTGTAAATAAGAATAAATCTAAAAAAAAAAACAGTTTAAAACTTGTTAAATATGAAAGCACAGGTTGTGGAAAACACGAGCTACAGCTTCCTAGTTCTCCATCATTACAATATTAACTGTGGCGCAAGAATTGCGCAAAGTACAAATATATGTGATAATTTGCGAACAAATTCTTGATGGAATACCGAATTAATTTGAAAAACACGCAGCACCTTTGCATCAATATCAAGTTCAAATTCAAAAAGTACTACTTATTTGGTAAATTGATTGATTAATTTTATAATAATGATAATAACAATAATAACTTGATATCAATTTGAATAGTGTTAAAAAATAAAAATATTTCCACAAAATATACTGTGAAAAACACCAAACCCCTCCCAAACACACATGCGTACTAAATAATTTGATATTTGCTTATAGAATCTGAGAAAAAAAATATCAGAAAATAACTGGTTTCAAGTTTTAAACCCTAATTCTAAATAGGAAAACTTTACAAATGGTAAAATGTTTATTAAAGGCCATAGGAAACTTTGGTAGTTCAGATTACATAGGCGTAGTCACAGGGGGGGCAGCGGGGGCACTAGCCCCCCCCACTTTCAGATCTGGGGGGGGGCAAGAGTATGTCTGTGCCCCCCACTTTTTAATGAAGAAAAAAAACACATCTATTTTTCCCCAACATTACCTTTACTATAGGAAATATTCATTGAATCCCCCCCACTTTTTGACCCTTGTATAGTTATAGTTATATCGAAGAATTGTGGACAAAAATTGGATTTGAAAGTAACTTGCCTTTGAAAAAGTTGGCCACTACCCCCCCCCCCCCCCCCCCCCCCCCCCCCCCCCACGAAATAGGATTTTCGAGTTTGGGGCCCTTTTTTTTTTTTTTATTTTGCTTGTCAGAGAATTTCTGTAGTTGAGCCCCCCCAATTTTTTAATTTTTTTTTTTTGCTTGTCAGAGAATTTCTGGAGTTGAGCCCCCCCACTTTTGAGTTTTTTTTTTTTTTTTTTTTTTTGCTTGTCAAAGAATTTCTGGAGGTGCGCCCCCCCCCCCCCCCCCCACTTTTAAGTTTGTGACTACGCCTCTGGATTAAAACACATATGATGTCTTGTGCGAGTCAATGTAAAAGATATGGTTAACAATAGAACTATTTAAGAATAGAATTACGGATATTTAAAATTTCCTTTGTAACTTTTGTGAATTGTGAAAAAAAATAGCTTCAAGTGTACAATTTGAATGTAATTAAGTGATTTGTGTATAATTTCGTCAAAAATATAGTGCAGATTGTCTGCCAAAGTAGAAAGAAGTAGTAATTAATAAGATAATTCCATTTTAGTTGATGAGCAAAATGGTTTCCGTAGAGAAAGATCATGCGTAGACCATGTGTTTGTATTAAACAGTATAATTCAGAACCGAAAGTCAACAGCTTAGGCTCAATGGAATTGATGGTGCTATGTATAATGCCATTTCTAGCCTTTACTTATTGACTGAATCTTGTGTGCGTTTGAATAATTTTCATACAAGTTGGTTCACTAATCAAAACGGGGTTCGCCAGGGAGATACTTTATCACCTACTTTGTTCTCAATTTTTATCAACGACTTAGCGGTGAATATCAAGGAAACAAATATAGGAATTCCAATTAATGATGGAAAAGTTTCTTTACTTCTATACACTGATGATATCGTGTTATTAACAGAAAATGAGGATGATATGCAAGTTTTACTGGACTTATTTTATAATTGGTGCTTAAAGTGGCGTTTAAATGTAAATATCGAAAAGTCAAATGTTGTGCATTTTCGTAAAGGACGTCAACCGCGCACTAAGTTAGAATTCAGGTTAGGAAATGAGAAATTACAGATCGTTCAACAATATAAATACCTTGGAATTATTTTTCATGAGAAGCAGTCCTCTTTGTATGTTGCAGCGGAGACTCTAGCGAAGACCGGGGCAGGGCACTGGTTGGAGTGATCTCGAGAATACACTCTTATAAGGATGTTGGATTCAGAACATACGAAGACCTTTATAATTCTTGTATTGTGCCAGTTCTTGATTATTGTTCGGGAGTATGGGGTTATAATGTTTTTCACAAAATTGATATGGTGCAAAATCGTGCAATTCGTTATTTTCTGGGGCTTCACCGATTTACCCCTTTATATACCCTTAAGAGCGAAGTTGGATGGCTACCCTCTACACAGCGACGTTGGCTGAATATATTTCGCCTTTGGAACCGAATTCTTCAGTTGGAAAATGACAGATTAACAAAAAAAGTTTTCATTTGGGATTATAATATGCAGGGTGTGTGGTGTTCACAAATCAAAAATATTTTTGATAGTCTCAACAGTAGTGGTCTTTTTCAAAACCAGCAAATAGTAAATACCGAATACATGTACCAAAAACTCCGTCAATATGCTGAAAATGAATGGAAAGTGAAAATACAATCATCATCAAAATTAAGGACATATATTTCCTTCAAAGTTAATTGTGAATCCGAACCATATGTTGCATCTAATATTTCAAAAAACGAACGATCAGCCTTGGCACAGTTCAGATGTGGAGTGCTTCCCTTACGCATTGAAACCGGTCGATATAAAAATGAACCCCTAAGTGAAAGAACGTGTGTTTTCTGTTCTAGATCCGTTGTTGAAGACGAAAAACATTTCTTATTAGACTGTCAATTGTATAATAATGCTAGGAAAATATTTTGATAGTGTGTACAAGGAGCACCCAAAAAGTAATGATAATGATTATTTGTTCAAAGTTCTAAATCAAGATTACCAAATAAAGTTAGCCAAATTTGTACATACAGCATTTAACCTTAGAAAGAATCTTCAGCATGTGTAAATTTATATAAATGTTATTAATGGAAAAAGTGACTTATAGGTCCAATGGGCCGGGTGCAGATTCAGTTTGATGTATTATGTTTACAATGTATATTGAAATGTCTATAATGCACAATGTCACTATAATAAATGATTACTTACTTACTTACTTACTAATAAACTTCATCTAGTTGCAAAGTGAAAATTGAGGTACCGTGTTAACTACATCATTATCAACGTCATAATTCAGTAAAATGAAGTAATGCTAAATCGAAGCGAAACACAATTTTTCCTATGAATGCTGTTTTTGTTTTGTTTATCAAACTGAGCTACTTTAATATTAAGAAAAAGAATAGCAAGTTCCTGTTTATTTCGCGCAAAAGAATCGTTTGTAAATTGAATATTAAATCGGACATTGTGAAAACCCCACAAATCGACTCACCTGAGCAAGTCGAATCAAAAGCAAATGAAAAATCGCATCCTGTTTATGTTGAATACCATAAAAAAGTGACAAATTAAGTCTCATTAATTGTTTAAAATTTCAGGGTTTTTTTTCTTCTCCAGGAAAAATAACAGAAGTGATTATAGAGCAACAGAGACAAGGGACCGAAATAGAGAAAGTGAAGTTAGAGCAAATCCTACAGAGAACTGATTTTCAATCTGAACAAGAATGTCAGAAAAAGGAAATTGATGACTTGTCATCAAACCTTTCAAAATTAGGTAAAATCTGCATTATTAATACCTTAATAAATTGTAAAAGGACAAATGTGTTGCTTGCTATCCTTAAATTATTGAAAAAAAACTCCAAAAATTTAATATCTCTTAAATATTTATATTTCTACATATTTATTTTAATTACCTTTTTTTCTTTTCTTTTGAACAGAAAAACTTTCTGATTATGAAAGACAGAATATCATTGGTAGGTAAAACCATTACAGTGGCTGCAACGTTATTGTTGACAAACCAATCGTGTAGAATCGTTCGTGTATCGTGCGTCATCGTTTGTGTTACGTGCGAGATCGTGCGTGTATCAGACTTAAACATGTGCGTTTTTAATCGTGCGAGATCGTGCGATTAGAATCGTGTAAATGTCGTTCTGTAAGTTATACATAATAGTATACAGAACGAACTTATTATCGCCCGTAAAAAAGCAATATAGTTCATGTAAGTCGTAAAATATTAAGTTCTCGTCAAATAACGCGATCAATATTGTGATAAACCGTACTTTGATCTTTAATGGGTTTTTTTTTCTTTTTTGAAAAATCCGATTTTCATTATTATTTACTTCTTATTTTGGTCAAGATAATTTTCAAATCAATACAAATAGAAGAAGAAATCTGGAGACAACAGAGATAATGAACACTTTAAAGAAATCAAGGGGAAGGTTCAAAGAGAACTAAGAAGAGCATACTGGAACTACATCGAGGGAATAGTAACACCTAAAGTAGAGGACGACTAATACAGCGGCCTAAAGCGCTTCTGGACTTATATAAAACACCAAAGAACTGACAACAATGGAATCTCACTAATTCGCAGTGAAGGAGTGCTACATGCCAATCCGACTGACCAAGCAGATGTGCTAAACAAACAGTTCCAGTCCGTATTCTCAGAGAAGACACATATCAGTACTGAAGAATTTACTCGTGACTGTCCTATGAGTGGAAAACACCCAGTTGCACCAGAACTGTACATTACCCATAATGGAATTCTAAGACTATTAAAAAATCTTAATCCATATAGAGCAGCGGGCCCAGATGGTATTAAACCTAGAGTACTGAAGGAGCTGGCTGACAGCGTGACCCCTATTCTCACCATCATCTTTAGGAAATCCCTAAAAAGTGGAGAGATACAATTGGAGTGGCGTAAAGCTCATGTTAGCCCGATTTTCAAAAAAGGGGATAGATACAAGGCTGAGAATTATCGACCCATCACCCTTACATGTATCTGCTGCAAGCTTATGGAACATATCATTACCAGCCATATTATGCAACACGCTGATACCAACAACATACTATACCCACTTCAGCATGGTTTCCGTAGCAAGAGATCCTGTGAATCCCAACTCATCGAGTTTATAGATGACATAACCAATCACATGGCTGCTGGAAAGCAGACAGATGTTTTGATCATAGACTTTTCCAAGGCTTTTGACAAGGTTAGCCATAGCCTCCTCATCCATAAGCTCAGACATTATGGGATCCAGGGAAAAGTGCACAATTGGATTGCTAGCTTCCTATCAAACAGAACACAAGCTGTAGTAGTCGATGGAGAAATGTCCAGCTATGTCAATGTTGACTCTGGAGTGCTCCAAAGGTCAGTCCTTGGGCCATGCTTATTCCTGTTCTATATAAACGACATGCCAGAAGGCCTCAATGCCACAGTAAGGCTTTTTGCTGATGATACTATCGCATATCTTACTGTCACGTCAGAACTGGACACCCAGACACTCCAGGCAGACCTTGATAAACTGGGCATTTGCGAAAGAAAATGGAAAATGAAATTCCATCCTGATAAATGTAATGTTCTGTCAGTCAGCAGGAAGCCAAACCCAATACATCACCAATACAAGCTACATGGCCATACTCTAGAACATGTTAAAAGAGCGAAATACCTCGGCTGTCTCATAACATCAGACTTGAAATGGAGCGATCATATAAGTAACATCTGTAGCAAAGGAAACAAGACCTTAGGATTTCTCCGCCGAAATTTAAATATCAGCTCAACATCAATAAAGGAAAATGCGTACAAGTCATTAGTTAGACCCCAGTTGGAGTATGCAGCACCTGTCTGGGACCCCTACACCCAAAAAGACACCCATAATCTGGAAATGGTCCAACGACGTGCTGCACGCTATGTAAGCAATAGGCATGGAAACAGGTCAAGTGTGGACAGCATGATACAACATCTGCAATGGCAAACACTGGAAGAACGTAGGCGAATTTCCAGACTCGTCCTGTTTTATAAGATCGTTCATGATGAAGTTGTCGTTACCAAGCATGATCGACTTATTCCACCACTACGTCGATCACGACATACTCACCAAGAAGCCTGCCAACTACCATCTTGTAAAAGAGACCATAGAAAATTCTCGTATTTCACTCGTTCCATCAAAGAGTGGAACCACCTACCACCAGAGATAGTCATGGCAAAAACACTTGAGACCTTTAAATCTCAGGTGACCATCTATATGCCATGAATCATAATTAATATTTTAACCTTTTAATCTTTTAAATTTTTATGATTTTGGAACTCCATGCGCACCACACATGCCATAATAATCATCTAGTTGATTGTGGGCAGTACATGGCAGAAGCAGAAACATCGGAAAAATATATATATATATATATATATATATATATATATATATATATATATATATATATATATATATCCAAAGTCTCTCTTTGTCAATACAATAAAAAACTTTAAAACACTTTTCGAAATATTTCAACCGTAGTACCGGCCTTCATCAGTCGTGTTTATTTAAATGCAAAGCAACTCAACAGTATTATGACGTCACAATGAACATAGAAATTGAGAGGCAACGTAATGCAATAAAATTGCGCCGAAAACATCTGAAAATATTATGAGAGCAAAAATTGTACTTGTGTAATCAAATTTTTTTATCATATAGAAAAAAATACTAGAATACGGGGTATATTAAGAAGATGATTTTAAAGTATGTATAAATGTATATCTGTTACATGTAAAATAAGTATCACAATGTCACACAAATGTTCATAAATCCAATTCAAAGACATAAACATTTCTAGATGCTTACATAACATTTTGTCAACGAATATAAATGCACACAACATGATTTTCGGGGGTTTTAACTATCTGTTTTTATCTCTTGAGCTTATCTATGATTAATTTATTGTAAAGAGCAAGAACCACTTTGGGCCATATCTGGGCCTGAGAATTTCTGAATAATCGAAACGGCTCAGTTTAAGTTGCAAATGCAGTACAGTCAAACTTGTTTTAAGAGGCCACCTTTGGGAAGTCTTGAAACTGGCCACATAAGACAGGTGGTCTCTTATTCCAGTTTGCCCTCGAAAGGGACATTTGGTCAATAAATAAACAACATTAAGAACTACAGTTTAATTAATTAATCATAATTAAACAGTTCAATTTCACAAAACCTTTTTATGTGTATATATAACAATTAAAGCTCATTTAAAAAGAATATTAAAGAATTCGAATATTTAAGGTTTTATGCATGTTTCTGTTCCTACATATTAGTTAAACATCTTGCATTCATAAGTGTGCTATTGTTACTCTGAATTATTGAAAAAATTCTTTTAATTTTCTTAATTTTCATTTGAAGAAATACATACAGTGCCTGACTATTATCCTTTTTATAAAGAAAAAAATACACAAAAATACAGTTTAATGGTAAATAAAATAAATCATAGGAATTTAAGTAAAAATATGTCAATAAAAATTTCACGTTCATATGTTAAAAAGATAGTTAAAAAGATAGTCGGCAGTGTAACCCCCCCCCCCCACAACTTAATCAATCGGTAATTAACTTACTTGCTGAAGTTTATAAAGTCTGATTAATTTTATTGTTTATAAAGCTGTCAGAATTTCTATATAACATACACAGACACACAAATAAATTAACCAGTTCACCAGAGATATGTATTTACGCAGTTGAAAATCATTCCATAACACAGGTGTTAAATGCAGTAGAGTATGACTAATCCCTATCGATCCTCTCTTGATAGTGAAATTCACGAGATAATCATTCCATAAGAAGCACTTTGTTTTTACAAGAGTAGCAATTAGGGCTTCTACATGGAATCAAAATATAAAAGGTGTGTATTTCTTTAGCTAGAGGAAAGGATCAAATGTAATAAAATTCTTTTAATTTTTCAATCGGCAATCTTGAAAAATAATTACAAATTGATCTAACAGGACAAATATTTTTTTTCATAAACACAAACAGAGTTCAGCGTATTTAAAAGCAATTTCTTTAATTGCATTACCCGGTAATAGGTTAAATTGACTATCGAGGATATAATTACCCAAGCCAACACGTTTAAAAGATGATAGAATCGCAACAAGTGACAAAATGGCCGCCTATTACAGTGTCAATAAGTCTGTTGGGAGAGGATTAGAGTGGCCGCTGGCCGCGTTACACAGGTGGCCGTTTATTCCAGTTAAATTATATAGTTAAAATCATCGGGGGGAACTGAATGTGGCCGCTGACTGCAAGTGGCCGTTGATTTCGGGTGGCCGCTAAGACAAGTTTGACTGTATTTACATCTAGGGGTGTTGGGGATCTAGTTTCTATTAATTGTGACGTAATTTCCCATCTGGTCAATGCATTATGACGTCATAAAATGCGTCATTTTCTTAATATCCTGTAAATTCCTTTGGAAATGACCTAAAGTTGAAGCATTTTTATGCCCCGCCATGAATATGGCCGGGGCATATAGTGTTTGTCATGTCCGTCTTCCGTCCTTCCGTCCTTCTGTCCTTCTGTCCTTCCGTCCTTCCGTCCTTCCGTCACACTTTGCGTTTAGCTCTGTTCAAAGCTAAGTTTCAAAGAAACTACCCAAGATATTTTCATCAAACTTCATATGCTGATAGATATTGATGAGAGCTATGGTTCATCTAGGGATGAACACTACCAGACTTGCTTCGGATGCTGGATTTGACTGACATTTTCAAGACGAGTGACCAGGTAAAAGTTTTTGGAACATGTCCATTCCTAAGAAACTATAAGCCATACTAGGACCAGACTTGCATGGATGATGTATCTATGGATGGACACTACCAGACTTGCTTCGGATGCTGGATCTGACCTATATTTTCATTCCCAAGTAACTATAAGCCCTACCTGAACCAAACTTACATGGATGATGCATCTTTGGATGGACACTACCAGACTTGCTTCGGATGCTGGATCTGACCTATATTTTCATTTCCAAGTAACTGTAAGCCCTACCTGAACCAAACTTGCATGGATGATGCATCTAGGGATGGACACTACCAGACTTGCTTCAGATGCTGGATCTGACTTATATTTTTATTCCCAAGTAACTATAAGCCCTACCTGAACCAAACTTACATGAATGATGCATCTAGGGATGGACACTACCAGACTTGCTTCGGATGCTGGATCTGACCTATATTTTCATTCCCAAGTAACTATAAGCCCTACCTGAACCAAACTTGCATGGATGATGCATCTAGGGATGGACAATACCAGACTTGCTTCGGATGCTGGATCTGACCTATATTTTCATTTCCAAGTAACTGTAAGCCCTACCTGAACCAAACTTGCATGGATGATGCATCTAGGGATGGACACTACCAGACTTGCTTCAGATGCTGGATCTGACTTATAGTTTTATTCCCAAGTAACTATAAGCCCTACCTGAACCAAACTTACATGAATGATGCATCTAGGGATGGACACTACCAGACTTGCTTCGGATGCTGGATCTGACCTTATATTTTCATTCCCAAGTAACTATAAGTCCTACCTGAGACAAACTTACATGGATGATGCATCTAGGGATGGACACTACCAGACTTGCTTCGGATGCTGGATCTGACCTATATTTTCATTTCCAAGTAACTGTAAGCCCTACCTGAACCAAACTTGCATGGATGATGCATCTAGGGATGGACACTACCAGACTTGCTTCGGATGCTGGATCTGACCTATATTTTTATTCCCAAGTAACTATAAGTCCTACCTGAACCAAACTTGCATGGATGATGCATCTAGGGATGGACACCACCAAACTTGCTTCGGATGCTGAATCTGACCTATATTTTCATTCCTAAGTAACTATAAGTCCTACCTGAACCAAACTTGCATGGATGATGCATCTAGGGATGGACAATACCTGACTTGCTTCGGATGCTGGATCTGACCTATATTTTCATTCCCAAGTATCTATAAGCCCTACCTGAACCAAACTTGCATGGATGATGCATCTAGGGATGGACACTACCAGACTTGCTTCGGATGCTGGATCTGACCTATATTTTCATTCCCAAGTAACTATAAGCCCTACCTGAACCAAACTTGCATGGATGATGCATCTATGGATGGACACTACCAGACTTGCTTCGGATGCTGGATCTGACCTATATTTTCATTCCCAAGTAACTATAAGCCCTACCTGAACCAAACTTACATGGATGATGCATCTTTGGATGGACACTACCAGACTTGCTTCGGATGCTGGATCTGACCTATATTTTCATTTCCAAGTAACTGTAAGCCCTACCTGAACCAAACTTGCATGGATGATGCATCTAGGGATGGACACTACCAGACTTGCTTCAGATGCTGGATCTGACTTATATTTTTATTCCCAAGTAACTATAAGCCCTACCTGAACCAAACTTACATGAATGATGCATCTAGGGATGGACACTACCAGACTTGCGTCGGATGCTGGATCTGACCTATATTTTCATTCCCAAGTAACTATAAGCCCTACCTGAACCAAACTTGCATGGATGATGCATCTAGGGATGGACAATACCAGACTTGCTTCGGATGCTGGATCTGACCTATATTTTCATTTCCAAGTAACTGTAAGCCCTACCTGAACCAAACTTGCATGGATGATGCATCTAGGGATGGACACTACCAGACTTGCTTCAGATGCTGGATCTGACTTATATTTTTATTCCCAAGTAACTATAAGCCCTACCTGAACCAAACTTACATGAATGATGCATCTAGGGATGGACACTACCAGACTTGCTTCGGATGCTGGATCTGACCTATATTTTCATTCCCAAGTAACTATAAGTCCTACCTGAACCAAACTTACATGGATGATGCATCTAGGGATGGACACTACCAGACTTGCTTCGGATGCTGGATCTGACCTATATTTTCATTTCCAAGTAACTGTAAGCCCTACCTGAACCAAACTTGCATGGATGATGCATCTAGGGATGGACACTACCAGACTTGCTTCGGATGCTGGATCTGACCTATATTTTTATTCCCAAGTAACTATAAGTCCTACCTGAACCAAACTTGCATGGATGATGCATCTAGGGATGGACACCACCAAACTTGCTTCGGATGCTGAATCTGACCTATATTTTCATTCCTAAGTAACTATAAGTCCTACCTGAACCAAACTTGCATGGATGATGCATCTAGGGATGGACAATACCTGACTTGCTTCGGATGCTGGATCTGACCTATAT